GTGGGTGGATGAGGAGGTGAGAAGTGACTTGGGAGGTGAGAAATGGTTTAGGTGGGTTGTGAAATGACTGGATGTGGAGGTGTGAAGTGACGATGTGGATGGATGTGGAGGTGAGAAATGTTTTATGTGGGATATGAAATTAATGGATGTGGGTGGATGTGGAGGTGTGAAGTGACTTGATGTGAAGTTGAGAAATGTTTTATGTGAAATGTGAAGTGACTGAATGTGGAGATGCGAAGTGACGTGACGTGAAGTTGAGAAATGTTTTATGTGGGTTATGAAATGACTGGATGTGGAGGTGGAAGTGACTTGATGTGGAGGTGAGAAATTGTTTGATGTGGAATGTGAAATGAATGTGGAGGTTAGATTTGAAGGTGTGGTGATGCGATACGTGATTAATAATGATTAGATGTGGAGGTAAAATTGATGTATGTGGAAGATTAAGACGACTGGATGTCGAGGTAGAAATTATTTGATATAAAGGTGAAAATAGCAGGTAATGAAGAGCGAAAATAACTTGCTAAGGGAGTGAAAATGATTAGATGTGGACTTGATGTTTTATGTGCAAGACAAAAATGACAGGATGTGGACTTGAAAACGACTGCCCTGTGGAAAATGAAAATGAAAATGACTGGCTGACGCTGAAGACCATACTGCAATAGGGATTCACAATACATACCTGAAGAGGAGTTCAGTTTGACTCGAAACGTAAAAGTTTCAATATTCTTCTATTTCTCTGTTAATTATTTTGTTACATTTTTTTTCTTTCTTTCTTTTTATTTTTTTTTGTGATTTGCTTTATAATTTATTCTCGTTATTGACCACTTATCTCAACAATGATTATTTCTAAGTCTGATTCAAATTCAAAATACGTTATTCTATTTCTGAGAATGATTATTATCATTATTTTTAGATATATAGTGGTTTTACATTGAATATAGATATGTGATAAACTTAATGTTACAAATTATTTTGGATCCCGTAAATACTCAAAAACTAACAGCAATAATTGGATTTATGAATTATTAAAACATTAATTGCTTAGTAATCAAAATGAACACAAGAAAGTAACAAAAAGTGAGTATAAAGGGGTAGAAAATATATAATGAACTATCTATCTATTTATCTATTTATCTTTTATCTGTCTGTCTGTCATCTATCTAACTGTATATCTATCTATATGTCCGTCATCTATCTGTCTATCTATCTATCTATTTCTCTGTCTATCTTCGATCTATCTATCTCTCCATCTATTTATCTGTCTTTTATCCATCTCCCTCTACCTATCTATCTTTCATCTCTCTATTCACTTATCTATCTATCTTCATCTCTCTCTCTCTCTCTCTCTCTCTCTCTCTCTCTCTCTCTCTCTCTCTCTCTCTCTCTCTCTCTCTCTCTCTCTCCCCCTCTCACTCTCCCCCCCTCCCTCCTCCCTCCCTCCCTCTCCCTCCCTCTCTCTCTCTCTCCCTCTCCCCCTCTCTCCTCCCTCCCTCCCTACCTCCCTTTCCATCCCTATCTATCATCTATCTATCTATCTACATGCTTTCTTCCCCCACCAAGAGACACGGCTCTCGACTGGGCCGCCTTCTTGGGGAACGTCTTCATGGTCCAAGATTTACTGAAGGCAGGAACCACGCCCAACGTCACTGACCTGGCGGGTAAGCTGTCTTTGGTGGTGGTGGTTGTGATGGAGGTGTTGTTGGTGGTTGTGGTGTTAGTGGTTGTGGTGGAGGTTGTGGTGGTTGTGATGGAGGTGTTGTTGTTGTGGTTGTGGTGGTTGTGGTTGTGGTGTTGGTGGTTGTGGTGGTGGTGGTGGAGGTGTTGTTGGTGGTTGTGATGGAGGTGGTGATGGCTGTGGTATTGTTGGTGGTGGAGGTGGTGGTTGTGGTTGTGGTTGTGGTGGGGGTGGAGGTTGTGGTGTTGGTGGCGATGGAGGTGGTGTTTGTGGTGGTGTTTGTGGTGTTGGTGGTTGTGATGGAGGTGGTGTTGGTGGTTGTGGTGGTGGTGTTTGTGGTGTTGGTGGTTGTGGTTGTGGTGTTTGTGATGGAAGTGGTATTGGTGGTTGTGGTGGAGGTGGTTGTTGTGTTGTTGTTGTTGGTGGAGAGGTGGTTGTGGTTGTGGTGGTGGTCTTGTTGTTGGTGTGGGTGGTTGTGGTTGTGGTTTTGTGGTTGTTGGTGGTTGCGATGGAGGTTGTGGTTGTGGTGTTGTTGGTGGTGGAGGTGGTGGTTGTGGTTGTGATGGAGGTGGTGGTGGTGTTGTGGTGGTGGTGGTGGTTGTAGTTGTGGTGTTTTTGGTGGTTGTGGTGTTGTTGATGGTTGTGATGGAGGCAGTGGTTGTGGTTGTGGTGTTGTTGGTGGAGGTGGTGACGTTTTCATTGTCGTTTTTGTTGTCAGTGATGTTGTGAACATTGTTTTGTTGTAAAAGTTGTATTATTGCGATTGTTGTTTTGCTGTTATTTTGTTGTGAATGTTGCTGTTGTAGATACCTTTGTTGATGTGGATTTTGTTGTTATGTTTTTATTGTTGCTGTTGTTTTTATTTTTGGCGTTGGTGTCTTTGTTGCTCTTATCACTATTATCATTGTTATCGTTATCGTTATCCTTTTCCATATTACATGATAATATAATAATAATAATAATAATAATAATATAATAATAATAATAATAATGATAATAATAATATAATAATGATAATATAATAATAATATAATATAATAATAATAATAATAATAATAATAATAATAATAATAATAATAATAATAATAATAATAGAATATTAATAATAGATGTAAAACAAGTAACATACTTGGCACATGACCAGATAAAATGTTTTTTTCTGATCTGTTTCAGTTATAGAAAATACTATGGTATGTTTTTTTTTCCAAACTGAATAAGAATTATCAGTAAATCTTATATACTTTGTCATTTTTGTTGATGTTACTGTTGGTATTATTGTTGTTGTTATTGTTGTTGCTGTTGTTGATGCTACTATTGTTCTTGTTATTGCTGCTGTTATTGTTGTTTTTATTGTTGCTGTAGTTGTTGTAATTGTTATTGTTATTATTCTAATAATTGTTGCTGTTATTATTGTTGTTTTTATTGTTGCTGTAGTTGTTGTTATTGTTATTATTCTAATAATTGTTGCTTTATTGTTGTTATTGTTGTTATTACTATTACTATTGTTGTTATTACTATTACTATTGTTGTTATTACTATTACTATTGTTGTTATTGCTGCCACTGTTATTGTTGCTATACCTTCCATCTTGCACTGATACTCTTCACCACATCAACCAAGACTCACCGTGACGTCATCCCCCCCGCAGGCAACACGCCCCTCGTGCAGGCAGCCCAGGGAAGCCGCCCTCGAGTGGTGGAGGTCCTGCTCGCCCAGGGAGTCGACGTCGACCACCGGAATAAGGACGGTGGAACAGGCCCTTTCTTGGCGAGGGATCTTATCTCTGTGTTATCGCTGCGTTGTGGGGTTATCGTCTTTTTTCTTTTTCTTTTTTTGTCTTTTTCTTTTTCATTTTCATTTTCCTTGTTCTTGTTCTTGTTCTATTTCTTGTTCTATTTCTTTTTCTTGTTCTTGTTCTTCTTCTTGTTCTTGTTCTTGTTCTTCTTCTTCTTTTTTTTTTCTTTTTATTCTTCTTGTTCTTTTTCTTTTTCTTCTTCTTCTTCTTCTTCTTCTTCTTCTTCTTCTTCTTTCTTCTTTTTCTTCTTTCTTCTTTCTTCTTCTTCTTTCTTCTTTTTCTTCTTCTTCTTCTTTCTTCTTTTTCTTCTTCTTCTTTCTTCTTTTTCTTCTTCTTCTTTTCTTATTCTTTCTTTCTTTTTTTTACTGTGGGTATTATTATTGCTTTTCATTTTTTGGTTTTTGTTATCTTGGGTTATTGTTATAGATTTTCTTATCATTACTTATAATTATAGTTATTGTTATTATCATTACGTGATTATAGTTATTATTATTATCATTGCTTATGGTTATAGTTATTATTTTCATTACTTATTATCAAATGTGTATTATAGTTATTATTAGATGTTATTATCATAAAATGTTGTCGATAGCTATTTATTATTATCAGTTATCATAGTTGAAATGGTAATTCTTTATCTCCACAGCTGATATCATCGTTGTTATAACTGGAATGAAACAAACTATGATAATTTTTAATTTCAATTTGATAATTATCACTTTTTTACAACAACATCGCTATAAATTCACAAATTCCTTTGTTTGTCCTTTAATCCTTTGACTTATTGAATTAATTTATTCATCTGTTTATGCATCAAATTACTGTCTTTCATCGTTTAAATCCTCTTAACTGATGGACCGACGAAACAATTATTCATTTTGTTTATTTACGTAATTATCATTTTCTCCTTCTCACCATACCAATGAATTATATATTTCTCTTTCTCTCCATACCAGGAATTTATCATTTTCTCCTCCTCTCCATACCAGGAAATTATCATTTTCTTCTTCTTCTTTCCATACCAATGAATTATCATTTTCTCCTCTCTATACCAGGAAATTATCATTTTCTTCTCCTCTCCATACCAGGAAATAGTCTTTTTCTTCTTCTTCTCTTCATACCAGGAAATTCTGCTCTGGCCTGGGCTGCCTTCAACGGAAACCATGTTATTATTGAGGACCTGTTGAACGCCGGTGCGACAATCAGCATCACAAATAACCATGGTGTGTATTCGAAGATGGAGAGGAGGGGAGAGAAAGGGAGAGGGAGAGGGGAGAGGATGAGAAGGGGAGAGGGAGAGAGGAGGGTGGAGAGAAGGAGAGGGAGAGAAGGGGATGGAGAGGAAGAGAGGGGGAGAGGGAGAGAGAGGAGGAGAAAGGGAGAGAGAGACAGAGAAGGAGACAGGATGGAGAAGGGGAGAGGAGAGGGAGAGAAAGGGAGAGGGAGAGAAGGGGGAGAAGGACGGGTGGATGAGGAGAGGATGGGAGAGTGGGAGGAGAGTGGGAAGAGGGAGGGAGAAGGAGAATGAGA